AAAAAAAAAAAAAAAAAAAAAAAAAAAAAGAAATAGCACATTAAGGATGGCTATTTAAAAAAGACAATGAGGACGAAGAAAAAAAAACATGAGAGCTGATGAGAATGTACAGAAATTGGAATTCTTCTGCACTACTGGTGGAAATGTAAACTGGCATAGACACTCTGAAAAACAGTATGCTAGTTCTTCAAAAAAAATTAAATACAGAATTAATATTTAATCCAGCAATCCTGCTTCTGGGTATAGATACAAAAGTCATCGAAGTAGGGACTCAAACAGATTTGGTTTTGGGTTTTTTTTTTCAAGAGATGAGGTCTCACTCTCACCCAGGCTGGAATGCATTTGGCACCATGCCCATCTAATTTTTGTATTTTTAGTAGAGATGGAGCTTTGCCATGTTGGCCAGGCTGGTCTTAAACTCCTGACCTCAGGTGATCTACCCGGCTCAGCCTCCCAAAGTGCTGAGATTACAGGCGTAAGCGACCATACGCAGCTTCAGGCAGATAACTGTATACCAGTGTTCACAGCAGCATTATTTACAACCACACCCTCCCCCCCCCAAAAAAAATGGAAGCAATGAAAATATTTGTGAATAAACAAAATGTGATATATCCATACACTGGAATATTATTCAGCCTTAAAAAGGAATGAAACTTTGATAGATATTACAACATGGATACATCTTGAAGACCTTAGTGAAATAAGCCAGAAACATGAGAATAAATATTGTATGACTTCAGTAATATGAGGTACCTAGAGTAGTCAAATTCATAGCGAAAGAAAGTAGAATGCTGGTTACCAGGTCTGTTAAAGTTACTGTTTAAAGGGTACAGAGTTTCACTATGGAATGATGAAAATATTCTGGAGATGGATGGTGGTAATGAATATGCAACAATATGAATGTGCTCAATGCCAATGAAATGTGCACATAAAACAAGAAATTTTGTTATATATTTTCCCACATACAAAAAAAGACATACAGCAAATAAGCAAATTGAAAGGTTACTTCTCAGAAATGGGGTGGGGGAGAAGTAATGGGAGCTTTTTTAAAGTCAAAAAATAATGAAAGAAGGTGAAAATCAGAAACCAGAGATTAATTGGTAAGCAGTACAATACCTATAAATTCTAAAGTTTCACTTAGTGCCATGTGAACAAACGGTAACAAATATGAAAATCTCTAGGATAAGATATCCAAGAGGGAAATGGAAATGCAAAATACTTACTGAACAGAAACCTATTGTCAAACTAACTCAAGAAATACTAACACTTTCTCTCCTTGCTAATTCAAATCTTTATATCAAAAATCTGAAGGACTAGTTTTTTACTTTTAATCTACAATGTTTAGAAAACTTACAAGGCAGATTTTCCTGTGCGGGGATCTATATAGGTGGTAGTTCTTCTATTGTGGTCCACAAAATATGGAATTCCATCCACTGTGAATCTCATTTCCCAACCTTCAGGTAAGGGCTTTTCATTTAATTGACTACAAAACCCAGAAAAAAACAAACAAAAATATTAAAAAGAGTTGCTTGTTTATCAAGTAGAGAAGCTACAAATATCAGTAAACATAGCAGAAATCTTTTAGAAAACCATTCAGTTCAGTAATTTCAGTTGCATATCTCTATGTGGACATCCTACAAACGGTTAAACTCAGAAAGTCCATCAACTACAACTCAAGTCTTCTGCAGTCTACTTGGCTTATGTTCCACATTAGCTAGTGACCCACCTTAAACATCTCGTTAACCAAGCTCTAACCACTGTGCCTTAGAAGTCTTCATGTTCAGCCAGGCATGGTGGCTCACACCTGTAATCCTAGCACTTTGAAAGGCCAAGGCAGGTGGATCACAACAAGGTCAGGAGTTTGAGACCAGCCTGACCAACATGGTGAAACCTTGTCTCTACTAAAAATATAAAAAATTAGCTGGGCATAGTGGTGTGTGCCTGTAACCCCAGCTATTCAGGAGGCAGAGGCAGGAGAATTGCCTGAACCCGGGAGGTGGAGGTTACTGTGAGACGAGATCACGCCATTGCACTCCAGCCGGGTGACAGAATGGGACTCTCTCAAAAAAGAGAAGTCTTCATGCTCATCTCTATTTCCAATCCCCAACACCATCCTTTTTCTGGCTTTGTTTCTCTTCTGCATTTTTTCAACAGCCACCTAACTAGTGTTCCTCATCTGGTCTCATTCCAAGCCTGCTCTGATAATGACACTGCTAAGAGAGTATCTTCCTAAAATAGAAATCTTACTAAATTAGCTTTTGCTGTAAAGTACTATCACTGTTCCATCACTACCAATTATTAAGATCTAAAGTTCTTCATATGGCACTCATTCAGCCTCTATACTCTGGCCTTAATGTTCCCTTTCAGATTTATCTCTGTACCCAAACCTCTAACTCTCTTCCATGAATCCCACGATTTCAGTGTATGGCCACTCAGCATTTCCTTAAATAAGACATGATCTGTCACACCTCCAAGTGAAATCTTTCTGTTTGTCCCATATTATCTACTGTTTTTCTACTAAGGCAACTCAAAAAAAGATTTTTTTAAGAGACAGAATCTCACTCTGTTGCCCAGGCTGGAGTGCAGTGGCATGATTATAGCTCACTGTAGCCTCAAACTCCTGGGTTCAAGTAATCCTCTCAACTCAGCCTCCCTAGTAACTAGGACTGCAGGTGTATACCACTACACTCAGTTAAATTATAAAACTTTATGTAGAGTACGGGGTCTCATTATGTTACCCAGGCTGGACTTGAACTCCTGACTGCAAGTGATCCTCCTACCTTGGCCTCCCAAAGCACTGGGATTACAGAGGTTGAGATACCACACATGGCCTAAGAGATTATTTATGAAGTATTCCATGCCACCTCCTTAATACCTGTCTTTATACCTTGAAAGCTCTGTGACCCTAGACAAGCTGCTTAATCTCTCTAAACTTCAGTTTCTTTGTCCATAAAATAGAGATAACAATGTCTATGTAATGAGACTATATGAGGAATAAATGAGACAGGTTAAAAAGTTTCACAAACAGCGAGCCCTCACTACAACTACAGATTGATCATTCTCTTTAGGTCTTCCAAGTTATTTCCTACATACTGCCAGCACACCATTTATCATGTATTTCAGTTCGTGTGTTTGGCAACAACTTCCCACCAGTCTGGGCAACATAGGAACCCTGTTTCTCAAAAAAACCAAAACTACCACCACAAAACAAAACAGCTGGGTGTGGAGGCCCATGTATGTAGTCCAAACTACTTAAAAGCCTGAGGCAGGAGGATTACTTGAGCCCAGGAGGTCAAAGCTACAGCGAGCCGAGATCATGTCACTACATTACAGCCTGGATGACAGAGGAGAGCCTGTCTCAAAACAAAACAAAACAGAAAAAAACCTGTATTCACCTAACCAAATACAAATGTCAGATGAAATAGACCCAAAAATGTAAAAAAGAGGTTTCTCATTGTTGTATTTGCAAGATGATAGGCTCAGTAACAAGTTGTTGTCTTAAAAATAAATTGCATAGAGCTAGGTCATCTGTGTTGTTAAAACAGAATTCTAACTTTAGCTATAAAACTTGGGAAACAAAAAAATGGTAGCAAATTATAGAAAGGGGACTTCTTCAATTCTATCCTTAGAAGATTCTAGAGGAAGTAAAAATGTTGTCTATGAACTTCATTCTTTCTTTATGAAAACTAAATAAATTTAAGTAAATGCAGTAACTCCATTTAAAAAGAAAATGGTCATTTGTTGGTAGAAAGAAAAAGCTATTTTAAGTTTAAACAATATCTTCTTTTATTTATTTTTATTTTTTTGAGGCAGAGTCTCACTCTGTGGCCCATGCTGGAGTATAGTAGCATGATCTCGGCTCAGTGCAACCTAAACCATACCTTCAGAGCAAAAGTTCTTAAAACTTTTGAGCTGTGGAATATATGTGCTGAAATTATATCAAAAGAGAGGTCTGGCCTTTGCCCTTAGCTCCTGGGTGGTGATGTTTTAGGCCCTTGGAATGAACTGCATATTAGGAATATCTTTGTTTGTCGGGAGGTTTTGATGACTAGTCAATAATGTGATTTATGATGGAGGCTATGGGACATGGCACATCAGCTCCAACTTCTGGAGGAACTGGGGACTAAAGGCATTCGCCCAAATCTCCAAAGGACTGTAGACAAAAGGTCAGCCAAGAGGGCAGTATGGGATCAAGTGACCCAAAAAATCCTAGATAGCAGAGACTTCCCTGGTTGGCAATACTCAACCTCAATGTGTACTGTCCCACAACAATTCTGGGTGTTCAGAGTCCTCCCAGACTCTGTCCTGCATACCTCTTCCTTCTGCTGGTTTTATTTTGTATCCTTTCTCTAAAATAAATGTGACTGTAAGAGGTTTCGGTGAGTTCTGAGTATTTCTAATAACTGATCAGACCTAAGAGTGGTGGTAGGGACCCCCAAATTTGTAGACAGTTGGTCTGGAGTTGTCCTGTGGACAATATTGTGCCTGATGTCTGAAACGAGGGCAGTTTTGTGGAAGGCTGTGCCCTCTCACTGTACAGTCTGCCAAATTCCTTGCAGAATGGAACCCTCTGGCAGTATAATAAATGGGTAGTATTACAGACTGTTATGGGTTGAACTGTGTCCTCCCTCCAAATGCATATTTATATCCTGGCCCGCATAACTCAGAATGTGACCTTATTTGAACACAGAGTTACTGCAGATGTATAAAGATGAGGTCACACTGAAGTACTATGGGCCTCTAATCCTATAGGACTGATATCCATATAAACAGGAAATTTGGGTACAGATAGACATATAGACAGGAAGAATGCCATGTGAAGACTGGAGTCATGCTGTCACAAGCCAAGGCGCTAAAAGAAGCTAGGAGAAAGACTTGGAACAGATAATTTTCTAGTATCTTCAGAATGAGCATGGCCCTGCTGACACTGTGATCTCAAGTTTCTGGCCTCCAGAACTGTGAGACAACACATTTCTGTGGTTGAAGCAACCTCCTTTGCGGTACTTTCTTAAGGCAACCCTAGCAAACTAATATGCATACTACTATAAAATGTCACAAAGATAAACCATTATATATACATAATTGTCAAAACATTATTCCTGTAATCCCAGCTAGTCAGAAGGCTAAGGCAGGAGGATCACTTAAAGCCAAGAATTGAGAACAGCAGTTGAGAACAGCCTGGGCAACAAAGGGAAACTCTTGTGATAATATATGTATCTCTTTATTAATAAATTAATTAGCAAGTCCTTATAATGATGTGTGTAAACAAGTATTCAGAGATACCGACAACATCCACAGAATATTTTTTAACACCCTGTGACTTCTACTGATGGCAAAGTCCTAGGCATTCTTAATTCTACATGGTAGTAGCCTACATTCAAAATGGAAGAAGATATTAAATTTCCAGTAAAGTCTAGTGAAACTGAGCATGTATTTTTTTCCCCTCTAAGCCATATACCCTAGATTCTTAACCAGTGATCCCAGGTTAAGAAACCCTGATTTAGAATCACTAATCTGTTCTTAGTAATTTAAAATATATAATAAGTATATTCTCACATGCCAGTGAAGTATTTTGTTTTTTCTATTGGTTTTTACAGGCCTCAATCTGTCCTCCAGGTTGGAATGTATTGGCACAATCACGGGTCACTGCAGCCTCAACCTCCTGGGATCAAGTGATCCTCCCGCCTCAGTCCTCCAGGTAGCTGGGACTACAGGTCTAACATGCTAACACACCCAATTTTGGGGGATGTTTTTGTAGAGACAGGTTTCACTGCATTACTCAGGCTGGTCCTGAACTACTGGTCTCAAGCTGTCCTCCCTCCTTGGCCTCCCAAAGTGCCAGGATAATGGACATGAGCCACCATGTCAAGGCAAAGGTTTTTTCTGTGCTTTAAAGAAACTCAAATTTTCCATTACATGAAAATAATAGTATAATTTTCTCTTTCCAAAGTATGCAGGTGATTAATGTTTTAGGTCTCTGGCAAAAGAATATGAACTTTGATCTTCTTCAGTTGTTAGAAATAAGGTACAATCTTTAAGAGATTCAATACATACAAGTAACTATTCTTACCCTTGACTTCTGGGGTCTTCCCATTGTGTAATTCGAGTGTTGTGGTTGACGAAATATACTCTGCCGTTACTGTCTGTTCTCTTCTCTTTGAGAAGGGCGGCGGGGGTTGGGGGGGAAGCAAAGCATTAGCATTAGCACAGTCTACTTGCTCAAGGTAAAATAAAATGATCTGAATTTGCCCATTTCTCACTGCATTATTTTATAGTTTTTAAATCACAGCTTTAAAAGGTATAATTTATTCTTTGACTATTAAAAGCACAACCTTACTAAAGTTATAGAAATATTACATCTTAGAAGCGAAATAAACATATTTTATTATGTCCGTTTAACCATAAGATCTTTCTACTCAATTCAACCAAGAGCAGCAAGAATAAGAAACAGTTATTTAGTTTTTCACACAGGACCTTCATTTTATCCTTAATAGTCCCATAGGGTAGGTGAATTCATCATTTATCCTTAAGATAAGAAAACTCAGATAGGTTAAATAATCTACCTGAAACCTCAGAATTAAGTAGCAGAGATGAGATGTAAACTCAGGTTTCCATTCAGAAATTTTTTTTTCCATATCACATCATTTCATTTATTAAAATACAATAAAGTGCCAGGCATGGTGGCTCAGGCCTGTAATCTCAGCACTTTGGGAGGCCAAGGTGGGCAGATCACTTGAGCTCAGGAGTTTGAAACCAGCCTGGACAACATGGTAAAACCTCGTCTCCACAAAAAATGCAAAAACATTAGTGGGCCGTGCTGGCACACACCAGTATTCCCGGCTCTTGTGGGGCTAAGGCAGGAGGATCGCCTGAACCTGGGAGGTCAAGGCTGCAGTGAGCTGAGATCACACCACTACACTCCAGCCTGGGTGACAAAGTTAGACACTGTCTCAAAAAAAAAAAGTGTGTGTGTGTGTGTGTGTGTGTGTGTGGTGTGTGTGTGTGTACACAAACATATTTAAGAATATATATATAATATATATAAAACATATACAATACATATAAAACATACATATAATATATATAAAACATATATATATAAGAATATATATAAAATAAGGAACATTATGTAATTTTTTTTGTATATGCTAGGCATTATTCAATTAGAAAAGACCTTATTTCTTTTCTTATATACTTAACATATCTTGTTCCTTAATATACCCAGTTCCAAAATCCTAAATATCTACAAGTCTATACAAGGGATGTCAAGCGGAACTCAGTTCTCTAATTACTGCATCTAAAGCTGCTGCTTGTTCCCCAACTGTCTCTTGCTTTAGGATTCTCCTTGTTTTCTTGTTGCCTGTCTACAAAATTTTACCTACTTTCCTGAGATCTCCCCATTAAGGTTTAAAAGATGTGGATTTCATTTTCTCTTTTAATAAACAAATTAAGGCTCGGTGTGGTGGCTCATGCCTGTAATTCCAGCACTTTGGGAAGGTCAAGGCAGGCAGATCACCTGAGGTCAAGAGTTCAAGACCAGCCTAGCCAACACGGTGAAATTCCGTCTCTACTAAAAATATAAAAAATCAGTGTGTTGGCGGGCGCCTGTAATCCCCAGCTACTCAGGAGGCTGAGGCAGGAAAATCACTTGAACCCAGGAGGCGGAGGTTGCAGTGAGCCCAGATCGCACCACTGCACTCCAACAGAGTGAAACTCTGTCTCAAAAATAAATAAACAAACAAACAAATTAAATAGACTTGAAATTTTAATTTAAGTTCTGCTATTTTTGAACTACTGACTTCTCTGTCCTATTATCAATTAATTCTTCAAAAGATGGAACTCTTTCTGTATCCTAATTTTTTTCATTTGTTCAGCATGTCTCAAAATGAGTAACTGATGTATTTAAGATCACAGAATGATTCAAACTTTTTAAAAGCTTAGTTTCTAAAAATCAGCATTTTCAAACAAAAATTTAAGCTTAATCCACGTTGACACAGCTAATTTTTATTTCCTGTGGCTTGAAAAATTAGTAACTATTGGCCGGGCACTGTAATCCCAGCTCTTTGGGAGGCCAAGGCTGGTGGATCGCCTCAGGTCAGGGGTTTGAGACCAGCCTGGCCAACAGGTCAAAACCCTGTCCCTACTAAAAATACAAAAATGGTGGTGGGCACTTGTAATCCCAGCTACTGGAGAGGCTGAGGCAGAAGAATCGCTTGAACCCAGGAGGTGGAGGTTGCAGTGAGCCAAGGTTGTGTCACTGCATTCCAACCTGCTGGGTGACAAGAGCAAAACTCAATCTAAAAACGAAAGAAGAAAGAGGAGGGCGGAGGAAAGAGGAAAGGAAAGGAAAGCAAGGAAAGGAAAGGAAAGCAAAGGCAAGGCAAGGCAAGGAAAGGAGGAAGGAAGGAAAGAAAAGAAAAAAGAAAAGAAAAGGGAAAAGAAAAGAAAGAAAATGAAAGAAACAAAGAGGGAGGGAGGGAGGGAGGGAGGGAGGAAGGAAGGGGAAAAAAGAAAGAGAAAGAAAGAAAGAAAGAAAGAAAGAAAGAAAGAAAGAAAGAAAGAAAGAAAGAAAGAAAGAAA